CAGCGGGGAGCGCACGGGCCCCTCGCTGCTCCCAGTGTGTAAGGAAACGAACGGCGACAGAAACATAACAACTTGGAGGTCCGCGCAGATTCCTCAGATCTGCGCTGGGCCCCCCTTGCGGCTCCTCCGGCGCCGCCCCTGGCGCGCTCCTCGCGCCAGGGAGGGGGGTCCATCGCCCGTCCAAGACATCCGGGCGGATCTCTGAGTTTCGCATGGTTATCTCATTGTTTGTTCCCCTATAGTGTGGAATATTGCGTTTCAGACGTCGGTATGGCTGGCCTTGCCCTCGTACTCCTATCGTCGTGGTAGACACCCCAGCCACAGAAGACAAACATTGGATCCTGACCCCTGTCTTCAATGGAAGCATTTACCGACTGGGTACCCCCAAGGGCCCGAAGGACTTCTTACATAGCAGAAGCTAATGCTCGTGCTATGCCAAGGCTCGGATCTGCAAGCTGAGGATACGCTGAGACATGCATTGATGCGCCATGTCACACAAGGCTACGCTATGCCACGCTGCCCAAGGCTACGCGTTGCCATGCTGCTCCATGCTAAACAGGCCAGCCGTGCCGCGAACTCTTCGTCGATGCTTCCCAATGCTGCCCTATGAGCTGCACGGCGCGGCGCCTGCCTCACCGCACTGCATTTGCGCGCGTACGCCTTCCACCGAGAAAGCCACGAGCTGGGACCGCGGGGGGGCCCTGCTGCCGGGGCAGGGACCACCGAGCTCCCCCGCCCCCCCTGGCTCACTTCGTGGCGCCTCCGTGCTGCCGGGCGGCACGCCCCCCTCGAGATTGCCCCGCGGAAGGCGAGGCTTGCAGGGTGCCCTTTGCGCAGTGCCAGCGCTAAACCGCCCGTTTTTGCGGCGGCAGCCGTGTTGTCAGAGTGTCCCGCTGCAGGGTCGTTCGGCCGTTCGCGCCAGGGCGCCCAGCTCCGCAAAGCAAAACGCTGTGGCACGCAAGCGCTGGTACTTTTGTCCTGGAGCCGCCCGCGAAGTGGCCCTTCCCCTCAGGGAAGGGCCGACCGAGGCAACGGCGGAACCCCAGCCAAATCCGCTCACGGTCGGTCCCCGGGAGCCCCCCAGTTGGGCGCCCAAACTATCCGGGGTAACTCGGGTCCGGGGTAACTCGGGTTCGGAATCCCGAAAAACGAACCCGAGTTAGCACTGACCCGAATTACCCCTGATGATTCGGGGCTCTGGACGCCCGAGCTATCCGGGGTAACTCGGGTCCCGGGTAACTCGGGTTCGGATTCCCGAAAAAACGAACCCGAGTTAGCCCTGACCCGAGCTACCCCTGATGATTCGGGGCTCTGACCCCTCTGTGGTCCTCCCTGATCCTCTTCGAGAAGGACGCGGCCGCAGCGATGAGGAGACCCCGCGGGAGGCCCAGCAGGGACGAGCAAACGCCGGGGCAGGCCGCCGTTGCCTCGCCCTGGCCCGCCAGGTCCCCCCGCTGGGCCGCTGGCGTGGTGGCCTTTCCGCGGCGTTTTCGGGGGAGGGACCTCCCTAGCGTTGGGTCGGGCATGTCCAACTAATGCGGGATGACGATTAATAAAAAATGAGGGGGGAACGATTAAAAAATAGCTTCCTGCTATTTCTGCACAAGTTTCTGACTGGAGGAAAACGATAAAAAGAACTAGTTTCCCAGCCCGCGGCCGGTTTTTTCTAATCGTCATCCCGGGCGCCGCCGCGTGAACACGACCCCCGGTCATTTATTAATCGTCATCCTCCATTCGCGTTTGGTCGGGCATGTCCAACTATACAGGGGGATTTTCGACGAAACATGACAAACATCTCCAAGCAATACCGAAAACTTGCCCCCCCAAATTCGCAAGGCATGTCCCCAGACTCTTGTGGGGGATTCTTTGTGGGATATTTCTTCTGTCGGGGGGGACGTGCCCGACTTCACCCGGGGTTCACCACAGGGGGGGGGACCCTGAGGGGGGGGGAGGTCGATCCGCTGGCGCATCGAATTTCCGAAAAACCATGCCCCCGCGCGCCCCGATGGTCGACACCTCTCGGGTTCCGGCGGCGGCTGGAGACCTCGCTTCGCATCGTTGTTCCGCGGCTTGACGCGCCAACGGACCCCCCCCCCCGTCCCTCCCTGTGGCGCCCCCCCCTTTGCGAGGTCCCGATCAACCCTCGCGGTTTCCGCCCCCTCCCGGAGGCCTCTCGCCGCCAGGGCCAGGGCCGCCGCGCCCCTGGCTCTGCCCCAGGGCAGCGGGCTCGGGCCGAGCGCGAGGGCCGCCGCTGTATCCATCGGCCCTCTTCCTCCTCCTCCTCCTCCTCCTCCTCCTCCTCCTCCTCCTCCTTCTCTGTCTCCTCCTCCTCCTCCTCCTCCTCCTCCTCCTCCTCCTCCTCCTCCTCCTCCTCCTCCTCCTCTTTCTCTGCTCCTCCTCCTCCTCCTCCTCCAACTCCGCCCTCCCACTTTGTCGATCCCAGCTGCACTGGCGAGGCGCGTCCGGCGGTGACGGCGAGGGCTCCCGGAGAGGGGAAAGCGAGGGACGGGTAGTGGCGTGGGTGCGTTCTCCTGCTCTGACTTCGCGCTCCTCCGTCCTTGTCCCCGGCACCTCCCGCCTCCCCCGCTCTCGCGCTCTCTCTCTCTCTCTCTGTCTCTCTCTCTCTCTCTCTCTCTCTCCCCTCGTTGCCGCCGCCTCGCTCTCCCGGCAGTGCCTAGATTGCGGCGGGGCGCGCCAGGAGTTCCGCACGGGGGCGCGCGCTGCTTGCTCGGCGGCGAGCGAGGGGGGGAGTGAGAAGGAGAAGGCCTTCTCAGAAGGTTCGAAAGTCCCCCGGCCTTCGAATCAGTTTCCTAAGCCCTCCCCGAAGACAGACCGAAACTTCTCAGAAGGCGCGAGGGCTTATGAGAAGTCCCGCTGCCTTCTGAGAAGGCCTTCTCCTTCTCAGTTCCCCCCTCGCTCGCCGCGGACTTGCAGTCGGGTGCTGCTTGGCACCCGCCCATCCCGTCGCAATCGCTGCTATCCGGTAACGCGCGCCCCAGATTCCAGGAGGTCCCAGAGACTACGTGAGCCTGCTGCCACTATCGGGTATTGGTGCTCTGTCGTCGGAGACGTCCACGTACCCCCACCACCGTCCGAAAATGGATCTACATGCAGACGCAAGCGCTGCCTGCGCCGTCTCGGCTTGAGAGAGTCGCTCTCGTATACCCTGTGCTGCTGAGGGGCAGAACTGCACGCTTCGCGTTTCTGTTCAGGCTGGGAGGGCAGCCGCGTCCGTGTGGAAGGCATTGATCGCCACGACCACCTCGACCCCGTGCCTGCGCCACACCACAGATCTGACATTCAGGAACACATGCGCACTGGCAGAAGGTGGGAGAGAACAGCACCGGTACGCTGAGCTGGCGTGTGGGATCACAGAAGCATGATCAAGTCATGGACTTGCGGCACGCGGGACAACGGAGAAGTGCATGCTCAGACCACGGCAGCTTACACACGGGGCCACCGACGCATGCAGACACAAGGGCAGACCACATAGCGCACGCGCAGGTGCATGGCAGGCACACGAGCGCGACAGCCGTCGAGCCGCAAGCCGAGCGGCTGTGGGATCTCGAAGCTCTGGGGCACGCCGTTCCCCGAGGCCCAGCAGCAGATGCGCCAGGGGGCGCACACTGACCGCCGACGTGTGCTCTTTCCCTTCCTCGGGTGCCCAAGGCTCTCTCTGGGGTCCCAGATTTAGGTCGGGCCCGTCCTCCGACAGGCGGACTTCGGGAAGGACATTCCCCAATCAGTGCTTGCACTGAAGGGGTCCTGGTGGAAGTTGCAAGATTAGGCGAAAATGTCCCGCCGATTTTGGTGATAAGCTGGGTTCCCGGGTTCCCGGTTCCGGGTTCCCGGGTTCCAGGTTATTGACTCCGGGCCAATTTCAGTGGGTTCTGGGTTCCCGGGCTCCCGGGTTCCTGATCGATCTCCTCAGCGAAAACCATCCACTGATTGGGTTTTTCTCTCGAAGCAAAATCAAAAGCAGTCCAAAGTGCACGAAAATCGCCACGACACTATTTGTTTCCAACTCTTGAACATGCCTCCCGTAGAGAGACTTGCCCAGCCTAACCACAGATAGGGGCAGCGCCTCCGGCGGCGCCCCTGGCGCGGGGGTCCAGCGCCGATCCGAGAAATCCGCGCGGACCTTCAAGTTTTTATGTCTATGTCATGAATCGTCTGAAGGGGGCCTGGGACACACAAACAAATACACTCAAATAAAAATATCCCCCATATTTTGCTCAATTTTCCGGGTTTTTGTCTTCCCCCCCACTTCCCATATTTTCCCACATTTTCGGGGGAATCGACGATTAATTGTGTCTGTGTTTTTTCCCTCCTGGTCGTCGCCCTCACAGCA